ACCAAACCGACAAGCGCATTCCCTTTTTTGTGTGTTCTGCTTGTCAAATCCACAGAATTGTGTTTTGTCTGGGCAGAAGTAACAGGCGCACCCTCTTTAAACCCCCCTGGTTGGTTGTTGTGTGTGTGTGTGTGTGTGTGTGTGTGTGTGTGTGTGTGTGTGTGTGTGTGTGTGTGTGTGTGTGTGTGTGTGTGTGTGTGTATGTGAGAGAGAGTGTGTGTGTATGTGTGTGTATGTGTGCGTGTGTGTGTGTGTTTGCGACCATCCTCTTCTTCTCTGAACATCATCAGCGTGATCTCACCGTGCGCCTGTGATGAACCACCAGTGCGGCAGCATCTGACGCGGGCCATGCGGGAGCTACTGCGCATCCGCCCTGCAGACCCCATGAGCTTTCTGGCTGACTACTTTACACACGTGACGACTGGCGTCCCCGCAGTACAGCGCGCCTACAAGCTCATCCGTACGTCTGTATATGCGTGCGTATGTGTGTGTGTGTGTGTGTGTGTGTGTGTGTGTGTGTGTGTGTGTGTGTGTGTGTGTGTGTGTGTGTAGGTGCGTGTGTGTGTGTTGGTGGGCACTGACGTGGTACTCAATTGTGGCTGGGGTCGTCGCACTCCCTCCACCCCCCCCTTTCGCTTCGCTGCTACAGGGCACGCAACAGGCAATCCGCACTTTCGTCGAGCAGAAGCCATTGCAGAGGCATACACCTTGCTCTCCGTCAACCAACACAACACGCTTGACAGAACATATGGTTCCCTGCGCACGCGTCACAAAAACACTTCCCCTGAAGGTGCGTGCGTATGCGTGTGTGAATATGTGTGTGTGTGTGTGTGTGTGTGTGTGTGTGTGTGTGTGTGTGTGTGTGTGTGTGTGTGTGTGTGTGTGTGTGTGTGTGTGTGTGGCTCATTAATGTGTCATCCCATTTGATCTGCGCAAACACATCACAGGTGCAAGTGGTGGCAGCAAGAAGCGGAAGAAGACAAGACACTCATCCTCATCATCAAAAGCATCGGCTCCTTCTCCAGGTGTGCATGTGTATGTGACTGTCCTGCTTTCAACCTTAGCGTGTATGCTAGCCACACACACACACACACACACGCACACGCACACACACACACATACACACATACACACATACACACACACACGCACACGTACACGCACACACACTCACTCACACACACGCACACACACACTCTCTCCCTCTGCTTCGTCCCACGCTCACACACGATGTACCCACACCAACGTGTTCACGGATCATGCAGATATATCGGGTGCGCTGTCCTCAGTCATGCTTGCGCCGCCATCGTCGAAGCAGGTCACAAACAGCCTGGACGGCCTGCTGGTGAACAGGCAGGGCCTCGACGCTGTCTTGGGCGTGGACTTTATGCAGCTGCTTGGCATGCGCACGTCAGACTTTTCGCCACAGGTGCAGCGAGCGTTGGCTGTTTGTGTGTGCATGTGGGTGCCGATACGTGGATGTGTATGTGGATGTGTACATGTGTGTGTGGATGTGAATGTGGGTGTGTATGTGCGTTTGTATGTGTGTTGATGTGTGTGGATATGTGTGTACGTGTGGATGTGTACATGTGTGTTGTGTTTTGCGACGTGTCATGCCGAGGCAGTGAGTATCTACCACTGTGCCTCACGCCCACCACGGCCCTTTGGCACATATGCAGGTGTCTGAAGCGCTGTGTACACGATACATGCGTGCTGACCACGCTGTTGTGACCTGGCCACATTTTAAAGAAGCCCTCACCGTCTGCTATCAGTGCGTGAAAAACGCACACCACTGGCACGAACACACGCACACACGAACACATACATGCACACACGCACACGAACACACACACACACACACACACACACACACACACACACACACACACACACGCACACACGCACACACGAACACACACATACATGCACACATACGTGCACGCACACACACACACACACGTACACATTTGTCCACGCTGACATCACTGACATCATCCTGTCATGTGCCTCACTCGCTGCGCGCGCTGTGCAGATATGAGGAGCTTCTGGAACAAGGGCGCGCTCTGTTTTTATTATTGGACCCATTCAACACAGGTGACCCAAGCGCGCGTGCGTACGTGTGTGCGTGTGTGTTGGATATTGCACCTTCGCTCGCTCTTGTTCTGTGACACACCTTCAACGTCTCTCACCCGTCATGCAACATCCCTGATGCGTCCACACGAACCACCAGGATTGGCCAAAGAGGACATATGCCAGCAGCTGATCGACTTTCTCTTGCTTGAGGCGTCGCCGGCCGCAGCAGATGTGGCGGCGGTGGATGCCGCCCTTACCTCCGCCATCAAGGATGCGCAAGCACGCGGCATGGCCACAAACCAGCAAGGTAGCTGTGGCGTGCTCGTTGCATTGGTTGTGGCGCTTGTTTGGGATATTGGTTGTTCGTGTTGTTTGCTTGTGTGTGTGTGTGATTTGTTTGTATGGAGTGTGTGTGTGATTTGTTTGCATGTAGTGCGTGTGTGGGTGTGTGGGTGTGTCTACATGAAATGCGTGCGTGTCTGCTCGCAAGAAGGGGGAAGAACAAGATGATGATGACCACCGCAAGCTCATACGCACACACACACACACACACATGCATCTCGTTTGCACAGATCGTTATGTATCGCTGGCGTCGTTTCTACGCGTGTTGTCTGCGCTGTTTCTTGACCTTTCTGCGCCCACCACCACCACCACCACCACCACCACGAAGGCTGACAGTCAATCATAGACGCTGTTGCAATCGATTGAAGCAAAAACACAGCAACACACACGCATACACACACAAAAAGACGCACACACACACACACACACACACACACACACACACACACACACACACACACACACACACACACACACACACACACACACGCACCCACGCGCACCAAATGCAAATTGTTGGCGGCGAGGTCGGTTGCACCACCGATTTTCTTTCGCATCCTCGTTGTCCCGCGACAGATATGGTCGCGCAGTGAGCACGAAAAACCAAGCGAAGCGTTTTGGCTTTGTTGTTGTTGTTTGTGTTGTTTCGCACATCCGCTTGCACGCAAGCGCACACACGAGGAAAAAGTCGTGTTGTTTGTCACAGGGGTGTTTGACGGCGACTCCTGCCTGCTTGCTGCCCACGTTGGTACACCCTTCACACACCACCGCCCACACACCACCCAGCACCCGGGCACCTTCCCCTGGTCACCTTCCCCAAGGGAGCGAAAATTTCGGAAGCTGTGTGTCAGGGCTGACACTATTGACAGCGCTAACTACAACCTTTTCTCTGCTGCCTACCAGCCGTTTTTCCGTCCAGCCTCCCTATCTAACTGTCGGTTGCCCCCGGGTCTCGACTTCCTTCTTCTTCTCCATCATCTTCTTCGCCTTCCTCTCCTCTCTTTCCCCTACCTCTCTCTCCTCTCCTCTGCACTTTGCATCACAGCCACTGTGTCCTCCCACAGCAACAGCAGCAGAGTGGTCGGATCACCTTGTGGCTTCCTCCCACAGCGTGTTGGCGTGCGTGTGTGGCTGCCGAGTAAGCATAGCGAGCGAGTCGGTGATCGACACGCAACGGGTACAACACAAAGAGGAAGGAAACAAGCGAGGGCACGCATCCGTCTGCTCCTGCTCCGCCTCAGCAACAGCAACAGCAACAGCAGCAGCGAACAGCAACACACTTTTTTCTTCAGATGACATCCAAGGTACGCGGTGCCACTGCATTCCCCCACTCCTCAACGGAGGCCGCTGTGTCCCTATTCTTGCGCTCGTCTCCGCTCGCCCACGCGCCTTGCGTCCATGTCTGCTCTGTTGCAGAGCGCCCCGCTGCTCCACGCCTCGTTCACTCATCCTCGCGCCACCAAAACAACCCGACACAACATAACACACAACCACAACAACAACAACAACAACAACACCACCACCAACAACACCAACAACCACGCCACACCACACCACATCATAACACCACAATCTCACCCCACGCCACCGCGGCGCCCCCCCCCCTTGCCTCCCTGCTCTGCCCATGTCGCTTGTGTACTACAAGAGCTTGGACGCGGTCCAGCAGATGGGGTCCACACCCCAGCAACTGCCCTGGTCACCGCAAAGCTCACGCAAGCACACCGACGACAAGGTCCGGTGCACGTTACCCGCTCCGCTCTTGTTATGAATGTTGGGGGTGGCGGGGAGGTTGATTGCGCTTCTCAAGGTGTCTTCGGTACGAGGGTACATGTGCAAACATATGCGGAGGTTGTGGTTGTGTCGCCAGTCGTGCTCACACATGCACATCAACACGCCTTGCCTTCGTCTGCTTTGACACAGCTTCCTTCTGACAACACCGACCCTCAACCCAAGAAGGAGCACAAGCTTCGAGGTCAGGCAGCAGATGAACTCAACTTGCCCTCTTCACACACACACACACACACATACACACATGCACACACACACACACACACAGAGCTCACCTCTGCTCTCGCCACTCACCTGTTCACATCCCTCCACACCTAGGTCTGATGCGCAAGTTTCGCCGCAGCACCAACAACAACAGCACCAGCAACAGCGGCGGTGGTGGTGCGGAGAGAAACGCGTCTGCATCACAAGCGGACAGCGATGGCCTGGTGCCATCCCCTGCATCGTCCGAGCTCACCCTCAGCACGACGGTGAGTGCAAGCACAGCATCAACCGCCAACGGCAACCACGGGGACGGCAGCGGAAACCCGACGCTAGCGCAACTCAAAGCCTCGCGGCGTCGACAGCACGAGAGCGCAATGGCCTCCGCTGGTGTTGGCGAGGGCGCGCCGCTGGAGCTCAAGTCCCTCGGGCGGGAGCTGCACCGCCACAAGGTGGCCGCTACCCCGCTGGCCGATGTGGCAAACATCGTGCACGAGCGCAGGCTTGTTGGCGGTGAGGCAACCGACACGTCGACCATGAGCATCGGTGTGGAGGACCTGAGCTGGGAGGAGGAGCCTGGCGCCTTTCTCCGCGACCTCCTTCACCAGCAGCAGCAGCAGTGTGATGAGCACCAGAAGCAGGACAACCAGCACCTGTCTGCAAGCGATGCCGAAGTGGACGGAGACACATCTGCCACACACACGCCGTCGACAACGTCCCCTGCGTCGCTCCCTGCCCGCTCGCGCCTTCCCGCAGTGGAGGACCACACCGAGAACGGCAGCAACAGCAACAGCAATGCAGACGCCAGTAACAGCCACAACAGAAGCACCAGCAGCAGCAACACGAACAACAACAACAACAGCAGCAGCAACAGTGACGGCGCGCGGGGGCAGCTCGAGTCTGCCGTCGCCACAGCGGACCTTGAGATGCTCTCAAGCTGCAACACCAGCCTGGACCACACCAACACCGCAACTACCTCCACCGCCGCAGCGGCAGTGCACACGAACGCCAGCGCCAACGGCACCATGGTCGTGGTGAACGGCGGTGTTGGTGTTGAGCACAGCGACCACGAGGTTGAGAGCAATGCCAGCAGCACAGCACGTCAGCACAGGCACGCGCACGTACATGTATCCACACACGGCGACAGCACTGAGGAGAGCGACTGCGCGTCGCTCGCATTTGAGAGCTGTGCGAGCGGGCTTGACTCCGACGAGGAAGGCGTGCGTGATGTACTGCGGTCTCTGGCGCTCTCATCTCTGCAGGGAGATGGTGCACAGCGCACGCGTCGACACGGCAGCCCGCTCGTTGCCGGCGGTGACCTGGTCACGGTGTCCACCGGCGCACCCGTGCACGTACACCAGCACCACCAGCCCGGGGTCGGGCGTGGTGTTGCCGCTGCTGGCAAGGCTGACGGCGCAAACATGGACGAGCACGAGCAGCGTCGTCAGCGCGCGTTCCTGATGCGGCTTGACGACGACGACTACGACCTGCACCTGCCGAGCGGGGTGCGCATGTCGGGCCCGAGCAGCGGCGATGACACGGAGGCGGTTGCCGACGACAGCACCAGCGACGTGCAGGGCCTCGCCACTGACGCCGACGACGACGTTGATGACGGCTTTGATGGCGTGAAACACAGCAACAGCAGCAGCGGTCGTGACGAGGATGATGCACGCGCTGACACGGCGTCACACCACATGCACGCAACGGACCACCACCACCATCACCACCACCACCACCATGACGACAGTGACGACGAATCAGTGCCGCATGCGGAGGTGTCTGTCCACGATGCCACCACACACACACCATTGCACGAGTCGCGGAAACAGCGAACTGTGCAGTCGTTCGAAAGCGACGTGCACGTGTGTGGTGGGTACGTGTCGAGCGATGGTGAGAGCCGGCCCTCCCTCGGCACGCCTGTGCGAAGCGGGGTTCCAGCCGTCAACGTTTGTCCGCGCAATGGCGCTGATGACCAGCAAGCAAGAAATGACACCAACGACACGAGCGTGCATGACGATACCGAAGCAGCAGTGCTCTCCTCGCATTCATCACCACAACCATCATCACCACCACCAGCAACCGCATCGTCAGCGACAGCGGCTGCGTTCCATTCCACCCCAAAGGGCAGCCGCCCCGTTGCACGCGCTCTGTTGCCCGCAGGCAATGCTGGCAACAATGATGACAACAGCGCGGACGACGATGCTGCGCTGGCAGCGCACCCGACCGACCTCGAGATGGACACGGCTCTCCTTGAACACGCCCAAGTTGTTGGGCTGCACCCGCTCCCACACCACGACGAGCAACACGTAACCAGAGGCGCTGATCGTGATCATGTTGCCACTGATGCTGCTCCTGCTTCCAATGATGGTGATGTCACCATTACAAATGTGGACGGAGACCAACAGCAGCGGCAGGACCTGAGCATGAGCGATTTCAGTTTCTCCAGCCACTTCCGCAGCCACGCAGTCGAGGGTGCGTCCCCCAACACCAGCGGGCTGTCGGCAGCGTCGTCCATCATCACCAACGTGGACGCACCGCATGCGACGGCACGCCACCAGGCACCGGGCCATGGTGGTTACGCGCACAGCGACGACGACGAAGTGCAGTCAAATGGCGACGACCACAACACCATGGACCACGTCATGGGCCACCCCATGCATGCGCCGGACGTGTCGCCCAACAGCCTGTACCGGTTCCACGAGGTTGCGGAGGTGCCGCTGTTCCGGGTGCTGCCACGGCCGTCGAGCATGGTGCTTGACGAGTCGATGGCGCGGCACGTGGAGGAGCTGGAGGAGGCCCTCGCCCGGCACAGCGACCGACTCGAGACACAGCGCTCGCCGTTCTATGCCGGCCACGGCTACGAGTCAACCACTCCGAGAGGTTGGTGTGTGTGTGTGTGTGTGTGTGTGTGTGTGTGTGTGTGTGTGTGTGTGTGTGTGTGTGTGTGTGTGTGTGTGTGTGTGTAACCGTGCTGGGATGTGATCCCTTTCGTCGTTTGGGAGATTGTGGGCTTCTCTGTTTGACATCACCCTACACTATTGCATGCTTTTTCATCCCATTGGCGCACATGTTGCCCCCCCCCCCAACTCTCACTTCCACTCATCGTCGGCCCCCCCCCCCCCCCACCACCACCACCACCACCACCACCACAGGCGCGGGGCAGTTCACGTCCAAGCGGTTCTGGCCGTACCCGGTGCCGCAGCACGAGGTCACGCTCCCCTCCCGCGCAATCGACCCCATCGACCCCATCGACCCCGCACACGAGCACACGCACACAGCAGGTGATGGCGACTATGCAAACAAGAACGCGCACACCACCAGCGGCAGCGGCAGCGACGGAGATGCGGGAACCATCAGCAGGCGCAGCAGCAGCATCCGAACCAACACCAACACCACCACGAGCGGTGGCAGTGGGAGCGGAAGTGCACCTGTTCACGGCAGCAGCGGCGCTGTTGCGACGGCCATGCGCTATCTGCAGGAGTGCAGCACACGTGGCGAGACAGCCTCCCCTGTTGTCATGCGTGGGTGCGAGGGCTTTGTCCAGCACGCCCGCGGTGGCACCTTTGATGCACACACCCTCTACAGGTTCGTTTTGTTTAAATTTTTGTTTTTGTTTTGGGGTTTGTTTGGATTGGGGTTTGTTTTGTGTGCCCTCTTGTTGTGTGGTTTTATTTGTTGTGGTTTGGCTTTTGGTTGCATGCACTCACGTGGCTGCTGTATTGTTGGTGTGCACTGTTCAGGTTTATGGAGATGGCTGCGCGGTATTATCGCACCAAGTTCACGTCGCTGCCGCACTGGAACTTCACCGGCGAACACCAATCGGTGGGCTTGTTACTTGCACATTTAAAGAGATGGAGCTGCACACACGCACCACACAACACGCACACTCACACAACACGCACACTCACACAACACGCACACTCACACACACACACACACTCACTCACACACACACACACACAACTCACTCACTCACACACACACACACTCACAAACTCACACACTCTCACTCACACTCTCACTCACTCACTCACTCACTCACTCACTCACTCACTCACTCACTCACTCACTCACTCACTCACATCCACACAACTCACTTACACGCTCCGTACGCACGCACATACCTTCCCTTTACCGCCAATGTTTCGACCTCACCTCCACCACGTCGTCGTGCCACCCATTCATGATACAGGAGCCCGTGATTGTGACAATTGGGCTGCGCAACGGCGAGCAGAGCAGCCGGGAGGTGCCCAACTTCCTGTGCATGATCCGCACCATTCGTCGCGCGTACAAGGGCGATGTGCGCCCAGACGAGCTCTCCCCAGCGCCCGATGCTGCCGAAATTTGTCGGGTGGCGTTTCCAAAGCTCTCCATCAGTGGGCTGGAGGCGATTTGCAGCGATCACATGGACGACGTGCGGCAGCGGCTGATTGCCGTTGACGAGCACATGATCAGGGACAGATTCAAGGTTGCGCTGCTGCACGTGCTGCCGGGACAACTGGACCAGGATTCCGTCATGGCAAACACGGCAGAGGATGACTCACCCGCGTACTCGAAGGTCAGAGACCAAGGAAACGGGGGGTGTTGTTGTTGTTGTGGGTCGTGGTTGGAATGGTTGCGGTGGTCGTAGCTGGCCATTGCTGATGTTGGAAGAGGAGAAGACGGAAGAGGAAATGCTGGTGATGATGGAGGAGGGGGGGGGAGGTTTGAGTCACATCAACGCGTCAACTGCTGGTTTGGTGTCCCTTTGCATTGTGCTCACGTCTATTTCCTTGCACCACCACCACCACCACCACAGTTTCTGCACGGGCTGGGCGATGTTGTTCCGATAGCGTCGTTTGCGGGCTACAAGGGCGACTTGGAGGGCTTCCGAGAATCGCTCTACACTGCTTTTGACGAGAAGGAAATCATGTTCCACGTCGTCTCAATGATGCGCACGCAGCGGCCCCAATCTGCGGTGCGTGCGTGAGCTTATGTGCGTGTGTGTGTGTGTGTGTGTGTGTGGACGTGTGTGGACGTGTGTGTATGTGTATTTGTATGTGAGTGTGTGTGTACATGTACATGAATGTATTGAATTGTTCTCGCATGTGCTTGACTCCCCTTCGTTATTTACGACCGCTCACGTGGTCATGGCATTGGCATGCACAGGCCGAGATCCGGCGACTGGTTGGAACGAGCCTTGTCTCCGTTGTGTTTCTGGAGCGCGGTGCGCATTTCGTTCCGAAGGCATTTAACTTCCAACTCCTCCATGTCTTCATCGTCGTGCAGGTACAGAAGGGGGAGGGAGAAAGGGGGAGAAAGGAGGGTGCGTGTGTGTACACAATAGCTCAGTGCTGTTCTAGCCTGTCTATGCATGTGTGTGTGTGTTTGTGCCTCAGTGCATCTTTGAAGTGAGCATACCTTTCACTCCCCCATTCAATCAAGACATGCTACGCATTGCTCACCAACAGCTGCTGCCCCTTACCCATGCTGCTGTGTTCGGTGGTGGTGCGTGTGTATCTGTGACAGGAGAGCGAGGAGATGGCGCTGGACTCCGGTCCGCTGTATGACATTCGTGTCGTTTCTCGCGACTCGGTGCCCTGGTTTGACCCTGTCATCCCTACACAGGTGTGGGAACGAGCGCGCATGGCATGTGTGATTGTGAAAACTTGCATCATGGGATGTTGCACTTGTGTCACGTGGCGCGTATTTGTGCGTTTGAGTGGCTTGTGCGTGCGTCTGTTGTGTGTGATCCTGTGTATGTGCGTGTTCGTTCTGTTGTGTACATGAACTCTTGCTGACACCCACATGCTTCTTGTTGTGGGCTGTGTGTGCCTGTATTGTTTGCGTGTGGACAGCCTCTGCCTGCGACCGAAATGCGGCGTTGGGTTCTCAACAAGATTGTGAATGCAGAGCTGGCCATGCAACAGGTGTGAGCACTGCCATGACATGTCATGTCATGTCATGTCATGTCATGTAAGCCCAACTGCGCTCGTTCATCCTCGGCTGCAGCCACCACTGTCTTCCCACGGCCTCACCGCCATGTCACCCATTACCCCATCACCATCCACCCATAATCTCACCACACCTCACTTCCACCACCTCACCTCCACCTCACCACGTTCGCTCGTCGCTACTGCAGAGCGGGGCGCTGGCGAATGTTGCGCGCCAGGCGCGGGAGCAGCAGATTCGCTCTGCGGTTGCCGACTTCAACGCGTGGAAATTCTCGGAGCCGAGCACGAGTGTGGAGATGCAGCACGCCATCCGCTCGTTTGCCTCGTCATGCATCGTCGACGTCAGCGCCCTGCCTTCCTCCGCCCTCTGCCTCCCGGAGAAGTGAGTACGATGACTGGCTGCACGTGCAACTGCAGATGCGAGCCACCGCCTTGCCTGTCTACAAATGCATACGCAAGTGTGCTTGTAATTGAGCATGAAAGTGCACGCTCTCATGCCGGAATCGTTTGATGAATCCTCTCTCATCACACGGCTTGCATCACCTTGGCAACTCTGCAGGTTTGTGCATGACATTGCGTTGAACCACGCTGTTGAGCGCGAGATGCAAGGCCTCCGCTTGTCCGGATCAGACGCCCGCCCTGCTCCAGCCCGCACCCTCGCAGAGAGTACGTCGTGGACATGCGCGCGTGCATGTGTGTGTGTGTGTGATAGTTATGCATGCGCTTGTCTGCATTCGTGTATGGAGCGACACGCCACTGTTCACCCCTCCTTCCTTCCACCGCCACCATCCCCCCTTCCCTCTCCATTGCAGGCAAGGCGAACCGCTCGAGCACCATCCAGCGCCGTCGGGACATTCGCGGCGTTTCTGAGGGCCTCCAGTCATCGACGTCAACTGCCCCAGCAGGTGTGAGAATGTGTGTGTGTGTGTGTGTGTGTGTGTGTGTGTGTGTGTGTGTGTGGATGCGTGCGCACATGTGTGTGTGCGTGTGTGTGTGAGCGCGAGATGCTTGCCTAACATGGGTGAATGTCCCTGAAGCGTTCCGTCCTGCGCGTGACCTTGGTGGCCACACCAGCCCACACACCGATCCACCACTGCACCAATCTCACGCTGACGTGTCACCTCAACCACGACGGCCTGCAGGGCACCATCGCTCGCTGCACCGCGGGCCGGGCTCTGTCAGTTCCAGCTCGCTCGCGTCGGGCGTCTCTGAGGCCAACGGGGGTGTGCTGGTTGAAGGCCGCGGGTTAAATCTGGACCACATTGCCACGCTGGACGTGCACGAACAGGTTGGGCGGCTGCGCAAGCTCGTGCTGACGCTTGCAGACGAGAGGGACACACGCACGCAGGAGGTGGAGACGCTGCAGACGGCAAAGCAGGAGCTGATGGAGAGCAACATCCAGCTGAGGGCAGAGATTGCCCGCCTCTCAAAGGCACTGCGAAACAGCAGGGAAAGCTTCGAGCACTGCTACTCTGAGGTACGTCGTCGCATGTGTCTGGGTGAATGTGTGTGTGTGTGTGTGTGTGTGTGTGCGTGTGTGTGTGTGTGCGTGTGCGTGTGCGTGTGTGTGTGTGTGTGTGTGTGTGTGTGTGTGTGTGTGTGTGTGTGTGTGTGTGTGTGTGTGTGTGTGTGTGTGCGTGTGTGTGTGCGTGTGCGTGCTGTTTGCTTGTGCTGTTGACTTGCCTCTCATCTTCCACTGCTGCCTTGTTGTTTTCCGATCAGAACGAGCGGTTGGCGCGGAAAGTGGCGGATCTTGAGCTGGAGCTGAACATGCCGGCGGAGGTGTAACGCCCACCACACATATGCTGCCGCAGTCCTTTTGTCACTGAATGCAACTACGACCACGATGCCTGCAGCCACCATCGCACATGCCGCCATTACTATCCCTCTGCCATCACCATCCCCCTTGTCAAATCCCTCAGAGTGGTGCACCTGTTACTCTTGTCCCGTTCACTGGCTCGCCTGCGTTTGTCACTATTCGCTTTTGTTCTATCAACATTCTCGATTTCTTGATTTAGCTGTGTGTTATTGTCGCCCCAGCTGTACATACCGACATTGAATGCCAGCCCTCCTTCCCCCTTCCTTATTGTTCCCAAAGTTGCTCTGTCTGCGGTAGGTGGGGTGTGTTTCTGCTTTGTGTGAACTTGTTCGTGCGTGATTTCAGGGCTGCTTGATCACTATCATACCTGTCCCAAGACTCAGTTCACTGTGCTGTTGTTAATTGTTGACGTGGGGTTACTCGTGCTTCACTAGCCGTGTTTGCTGTTTTGGCCAATGTGTCTGTGGTGTCGCTTGTTGCTAGCTCTCTTGTATGGCTTTGATGTATGACGCGTCACGTTCTGTGGACGTGTGCGATTTGCCCAATAAATGCATCAATTGTCCTTTTGTTTGTTTTTCATGATGATGATGCGTGTGTGAGTGTGAGTGTTGGAGTTGTGCACGTGTGTATGTGTGAGTGTAAGAGAGTATGTGGTGGTCGATCAAATCCAGTTTATCATCCCATTGCATTGAGCAATAACGTGCACGTCAAGAGCGTTCAGCAATGCTCGCGAAATACTGCAACAAATCCTCCACCTCAAACTCCAGCCGGATGTTTGAGTTGGGGTAGCACTTGGCGATGAGCTCTTCAAAGTGCGCGTGCAAACGAACAAACTCCTCTTGAATGCTGCGCCAAACGACCACAAGCAGGTTCTCTTCCGTGCACAGCTGCTTCTGCACCCGCTCTGTGTGTCGTGTGTGTGTGTGTGTGTGTGTGTGTGTGTGTGTGTGTGTGTGTGTGTGTGTGTGTGTGTGTGTGTCGTGTGTGTGAACGAGAATGCGATAGCGACAAGCACAACAAGGACCTGATCACAGACAACACAACGCAGCAGGCGACGCACTGTAAGTTGATTCGAGGCCTTTCTTGACTTCCTTCCCAGGGTAGAGCTTGATGATAGCACGCAGCTGCTGTTTGTTAAACTCAGAATAGTAGCCCACCTGGACGCACATGCGCGAGTGTTCGTGAGTAAGTGTGTGTGTGTGTGTGTGGATGCGTGCGCACATGTGTGTGTGTGTGTGTGCGTGTCATTCGCCATGCGCGGCATCATGTTAAATCACAGCTCACGTCTTGTGGGGCGGTGCCTTGTCGAATCAGCTGTTCCACGCCTTCAAAGAAGCTCTGACGATGGCGATGGCGATGACGAGCGTTGCGTGAGGGAGCGCAGTTGAGATAGAGAGAGAGAGAGAGGCAGATGAAAACGCACCTCGACCATGCACACAATATCAGAAGCATGCACACACATACACACAAAAATAAAATACACTGACGCACCGAGAGGCGTTCCATTGGCCGACCGAGTACGCTTTGCACAAAGCGCGTAATGTGTGTTCTGTATTTCTCCTGCGCGTCCGCTCTGTATTGCTTCAAGCTGTCAATCTTCAGGCGGGACAGTTGGTCTGGCAGAGACAAAGCGTATGTATGTGTTAATGTTTGTGTGTGTGTGTGTGTGTGTGTTGGTGAGTGTGCGTGAGTGCAAGTTGAGCTGCAGAAAATCTCACGCATTACAGAAGACACAACAGCATGCGCACGCGAGTAAGAGACAGCTCACCGTAGAGGTTGTGGAAGTTCTCTGGTCGGGACAGCAAGAAACAACACGTGTGTGTGTGTGTGTGTGTGTGTGTGTGTGTGTGTGTGTGTGTGTGTGTGTGTGTGTGTGTGTGTGTGTGTGTGTGTGTGTGTGTGTGTGTGAGGGGGGGGGTGGCTGTCAGTCCATTTTCACCGCATGGGCGGTGCCACAAGCGACGAAACAATGATGTCGAACATTCAGCGTACAAAACTTTCCCATATGTCCAGACTGACACAGAGAGAGAGATAAAGGAACGAGAGAGAGAGAGAGACAGAGAGAGACAGAGAGACAGAGAGAGACAGAGACAGAGACAGAGACAGAGAGAGAGACTGACACAGAGAGAGAAGAGAGAGAGACAGAGAGAGAGACAGAGACAGAGAGAGAGACGCACAGAGAGAGAGAGACTGACACAGAGAGAGAGAGAGAAAGAGAGAGAGACAGAGAGAGAAGAAAAGAGAGAGAGAGACGCACAAGGAACACACACACACACTCACCGAAGAGGATGACGTCCGGCTCTTTCGCGTCGGCGGCGATTTCTTGAACGCGATCAAAGATGGCACCGAGCAGGCGCAGATATGCCTGAACACAGACAGCGGGCAGATGTGTGCTTGTGTCAGGGGAGAGGGCTGGTGGTGGTGGTGGAAAAAGAATTCCCACAATCGACATGAAGACAAGTACACACACGCGCATACATCCACAGGTGCAACCACCAACAAAGAAAAGAGCTCGCTTGAGCTGATGCACATGGCGATTTGAGAAAGACAGTCGGCAGCCAGTGCATGATTAGAGGGGGGGGAGATGGTATGCGAATGAACGGCACCTTGTCCAGAAGCGAATGGCACTCCTCCTTTGCACCGACGGCCTCGGAGTCACGCACAAGCCGCTGAGTGGTGATGGTGGTGGCGGTGGTGGTGAGGCAATCAGTGGTGCTGTCTTTGTGTGTGTGTGTGTGTGTGTGTGTGTGTGTGTGTGTGTGTGTGTGTGTGTGTGTGTGTGTGTGTGTGTGTGTGTGTGCCTGCATCTATAATGGCTCAATGTTCATCACAGCAGACAGTTGCACACTAAGCATGCACGGACCGAAAACGACGATACGAATGGAAGAATCCCACACCCGTCTTTCTTCTTCACTTGCGCAGTCATCACAGCGTCCACCACGGAATCCTGCCATGTGCACATTGCGTGTTGCATGTGAATAAGTGCAAGCGCAGGAGTGCATGTGTCGTATGCGTGTGAGTTAGAGAGTGTGTGTGGAGGATCAAATGCCAACGCATGCACGAGACACCAACATGTGCAAACATCCCTCCACCCCCACCCCCACCCCACGCGTACGATGTAGGAGTCGTAGAGCCGCTTGGCGTACACGTAGCATTTTCCAAACAGCTGGAACAGAAACGTGGACTCGGAGGCAACTTGCTGCGACAGTCCGCTCAGCACCACCAGCGCCACCGTGCTGTTGCTGTGCATGGTACACACGTGCGAACCGACAAGGCACACGTGGATGCAAAGTGCCACGACGTAAATATGAGCGAGCGGAACCACAACGTGCATTGTCGCAGGCACCAGCTCCACAAAGGACCAGCGCAGAACATTGGAGAGCACCACACGGCAAATGCAGAATAGCGCAACAACGCACAAGGCATCCTGTTTGTAGCCGGCTTGCATCATGGTGTGGATGGCGTCATCGAGGCCTGCAGAAGAACGGAGCGCACACACAAACAATCACACAGAACGGCAGGGGAACAACGTGAACAACGCAATGCACACGACACGCAAGTGTACACACGCACGCACGCACGCACGCACGCACACACGCACGTATACGGACCGTTGAACATGACGTTGAGGAGATCGTGGAGCAGAGGATGAATCTGTGGCTGATGCGAGACCGTGCTCAGGCGCGACGGCTGCTTCCGCTCCCTGGATGTGTGTGTGTGTGCGTGTGGGAGTGTGGGAGTGTGTGTGTGAGTGTGCGAGAGAGAGTGTGTGTGTGTGAGTGTGCGAGAGAGAGAGTGTGTGTATGTGTGTGTATGTGTGTGTGTGTAATGCAATCACACGCAGTTGTCAGCGCGAACAGCACAGAACGTGACGTATGCACGTGGTCGGTGCATGCATGTGCATGTGTGTTGGTGTCTGTAAGGTGTCGTACAACAGGGGAGAGTCGCGGTATCCGGACAATGACGTGTAGCTGCCGCTCAAATTGGACCTGACGAAGCAAACGGCCCAACATTTGTGAAGGACAGGGCGCGCGTGTATGTGTGTGTGTATGTGTGTGTGTGTGTGTGTGCTTGATGAGACGGGAGACAAGAAGGACGCGAGGCACACATGACATGACACGGCTGTATGACGCTCGTTTGCATCACCGTGGCCTCGGCGTGTGTGTCGTCGCACGGCGAGGTGTTCGCAGCGGCGTCTGCACTTCAAGGTGTTGGTGTTGCTGCTGTTTCTCTCTCACCTCATCGTCCCCACCACCATCATCCCCGCCCCCTTCTCCGCCACCATCACCACCCTTGTCGCTTTCACCGCTGCCATCGCCGCCACCACTGCGCTTGCTCTCATCCTGAATGTGCAGATGGAAGAATTCCTCGCACAACTGCTGCTCCTCCAGCACAAGCGGCACAATCTCTCCCATCGTCGCGCGGAAGCCCTGGGAGCGTGTTTGTGTGTGTATGTAAGCATGTTTGTGTGTGTATGTGTGCGTGTAAGTGTGTGCATGTGCGTGTGCATGTGTGTATGCACATGAGCACATGCCACCATGTGTGCGTGTGTGACGGTACATTGCATATGCTTCGCTTGGCAGTGAGTGCAGGACGACACGACATGTGTTGACAACCTCATGAAACGCTTTTCTTGGATCTTGTGATTTGTCCTTTGCACTCGCAGTCATCTTGTTGGTAATGTGGATGGAGGAGACATGGAGCAACGACGTCCATGTAAGTGACAGTGCTTGGCTGTTGCCGCTGTGTCTGTTACCTGTGTTCGCATCCACGCGCCGCACACACACACACACACACACACACACACACACACACACACACACACACACACACACACAAGTGTCGTGACATCTGCAATCACTGTGGCGATTGTGCTTCCCTGCCACTTCAAGCCCCAATTCACTTGGGGTCTTCTTCCCACACTCCTCTCTGCATCTTTAGCACAGCACCACGGTACCACCTGGCTTGAGACCCGTGTGGAGGAGAGAGTACAGGCGGTTTGCAGCCTCAACCGTGAGACGCAGGCCAGGCGCCGTATTGAAGTCGGGGTGTGTCAACGCATTCACGTGCGATTTCGAAAATGTCAGAAAGTCCTGTTGTGGTGATGTTTGTTTGAGTCGTGATGATGGCGATGATGATGGTGGTAGTAGGGCGCAGACGGTGAAGAAGTTGCGCTCATGTGAACGCGACGGAGAGCACAGCGAGAGTTTGGGGGTGCAGCCAAGGTAACAAGACATCGTCCACACACACACACACACACACACACACACACACACACACACACACACACACAACGTGATTGCGGCACGAGTGCGCACCGTCAGCTGCCGTGTGTATTCGCCGAGACTGACAAAGTTGTCCTGCTGCACATTGATCATTCGCATTTGATCCGACACGCGCTGTGCATCTCGTCCCAGCGGATGTCAACGCAGTGTGTGTGTGTGTGCGCGCGCGCGTGTGTGTGTGTGTGTGTATGTGTGTGTGTGTGTGTGCGCCCTCTCTGTGTGTGTATGTGTGTGTGTGTGATCTCTGTGTCATGTGTGTGTGTGTGTGTGTGTGTGAGTGAGAGCTCCCCCGCATCTCTCACAAGATCAATGCGTGAATATAGCACTGTTGGATGTTGGAACCCCACGAAAGAGAAGAGGGAGAAAGTGTATGTGGGATCCATTGTATGGCACACCCTCACACATATGCGCACACACACACACACATGCACACATACGCACACACACACACACACACACACACACACATGCACACATATGCGTACACACACACACACACACATGCGCACCATCCCAACCGAGAGTCTCTGGTTCTCTCTGAAGGATGTCAGAGAGTGCGCGCGCGTCTGTTGTTTGTTCATCACATCTTTTTAA